TTGTTTGTTCTCTGCCCTGTTCACCATTTTTTGCTGCATTTACCATCTTGTGATATCCCAGGTGGTTATCAGTTGGATATGTCTTTAAATGCTTGATACATGCTGTGCAGAAAGCACTCTAGTCTGACTGAGAAATGTCAGCTTCTGTGGCCCTCCCTTAGGGAGTCAGCAGTTAGGTGAAAACACTGCTATGATATTTTGTGAAAAAGGGCTTTGTTGATCTACTCTTCACACCAGGAAACTATACCAGGAATTATGAGCTGACATCCTCATGACTGTAGCAAAACTGGGTGACAAGGAATATTAGGAAAGGAAGCAAATTTGCCATGTTTGTAGAATATATTTGGTCTCCTCTATCTTAATCTTTACACTACTCTGCACCCCCTGGGATTGTTGTTATTGTTTTTATTTTGGTTTGATTTAATGATTGGATTATTTCAGTGAAGTATATTTCCTATAGTATGTAGTCTCGTTATTTCCCAGAAGGTAGCATCTTTGATGTATACACAATCCTGGTTTCAACTCTTGTTGGTTTCTGATTAATGTCTTTGTTGAATTTCTAGCTGGTCTACATATGTTCCATGACACACAGCACCTCATATTTTTAGCACCTCATATTTTCTGGCTGATGTTTTTATTTTTTATATATGTTCAATGGCCTTGTGCATTAATAAGTCTAATTGGATTGGATTAAATTTGCACTCTGCCACCACCTTGTTCTTTCACCCCTGCACATGTAGTTTTTGATGACTTTTCAGGAATGTTTTAAACCTTACGAGGTTCTTTCATGGCCATGTCTTTTCCTAGTTCTTTGTCTTAAGTTTTTGGCCAGCCTATACTTTATATTTTTGCTCTCTTGGAGCTAGCAGCCTCCTCTTAATTACTGAATATTAAATTCTCCATTGTTTACAACAGTAGTGTTTTCTAATGTGTTTTGCATATAAATTCAAGTCACTGAGAGCTCCCGAGTTGTGTTTTATAGGAGTGTTCCATGAGATAGAATGTACTTACTTAAACCTAGAAGGGAGAGCCACGCCTAATAATATATACCTAGGTTCTTTGGTTACAGGTTATAGCCATTTATTTGCTCAATAGAAGAGGGAAAGTAATTTACCTTTACCTTTTTAGATTCTTGACTGAGACATCCCTGTATTAAAAGGCAGATTAGCAGGAGAGAAAAAAAGTTTAGTAACATGTGTACCTCCTGTGTACATGAAAAAGATTGAGGAAAACTGAATAACTTGCCAAAATGGCTGCAGCCACCACCTTATATACTATTTTCAGCCAAAGACAAAAGATGTTGAGGGTGGAGGAGTCAGTTTTGGGAGCTTACCAGGAAAAGCTCAGTAAAGAAGGGGAAAATTATTTTGCAGAGTTAAGTCTTTGCCTTCTGCACTGGTAAGGGGATGGTGAGGCCATCCCCTCCTGGAACAGCTGGGGAGGCCCCCTTAAATGGAGACCTCTTACAAATGGAGACCCCTGTACAGATGCCACAGGTTTGTACAGAATATTACTTCACTGAATATCATAGGCAACTGTAACACAATGGTAATATTTGTGTGATATCTTATGATGACTAGGATGTAAGTAGACAAAAGGAAATTTTAAGTCCCATTATAATCTTATAGGACCACTGTTGTAGACACAGTTTGTCATTTACTGAAACAGTGTTATGTAGCACATGACTGTATATCCAGTTGATTGGTGGTGGTGGTGAGTTGTCAACTATATCCTTACTGATTTTATTTCTGCTATATCTTTCCATTTCTGTTACACGGGTGTTGAAGTTTGTTATTATGATGGTAGATTCATGTATTTCTCTTTGCCATTCTATTAGTTTTGCCTCCTGTAGTTTGATGGTGTGTTGATGACCTTGTTATGTTTTCTTGGAGAATTAACCCCTTTTCCATTATGTTGTACCTTTCTTATCCAATATTATTTTTCTAGCTTTGAAATCTGCTTTTTCTGAAAGTAATACCGCTACTCCTTTATTTCAAATAGTATAAGCATTGAATATTTTTCTTCATCGATTTACTTTTAATTTTATGTGTCTCTACATTTAAAGTGAGTTTTTTATAAACTGTATATAATTGAGTCTTGTTTCTTAATTCATTTTCACAATGTCTTAATTGCTGCATTTAGATCATCATCATTCAAAGTAGTTACTTAAACAGCTCGATTAAGAAGTACCATATTTGTTAGTTTTCTCCCCTTGTTCTTTGTTTTTGTTTTTGTCTTCCACTCTCCTGTTGTGATTTAAATGATTTTATATTTTTTCTCCTTTCTTAGCACATGAATTATACATTTTTCAATCTTTTAAAATGACTGGCCTAGAGTTTACAATATAAATTTATAATTTTTGTTCACTTTCAAATAACCTATGTATAAAGACTATATATAAAGGTATATCTTGTTTTCTTGCAGTTCTGTTTAATGAGCTTCACAGATGTTGCATTTTTTAGAAATTGTAGGCAAGACCCTCCACCAACAAAAAAAATTATCATTAGCTTTATGTGATACTTCATTGTGGTATTTTGGAAACAAAAGGGAAATATCTTTGAGTTATGCCTTTAATAGTAAAATCATTCCAGACCTTTTTCGGTCCCTTGTGTCATTGATGACATTCATTTTACTTTTATGTAAACATTCTTATGCATATTTTAAACATTTCTTATGCATATTTTATGTAGCAAGTAAAAGTCATGTGTAATTAAATACAGTGATTGTGGTTGTTATTTTGAATGAACTGTTGTCTCTTAGATCAATTGATAACAAAAATAAGATTTTATATTATGTTCACTTATTTCTTTTTTAATGCATTTTCTTTTATATTGGATAAGAAAGGTACAACATAATGTAGATTGGAGTGTCTAATCTATTTTGTTTTCTTATCTAAAGAACTTTTAATATTTTTCTTGCAAGGCCACTCTTGTATCAACAGTTTCCCTCAATATCTGTTTCTAAGACAAAGTCATTATTTCTCCTTCACTTTTGAATGGTAATTTTTTAGGGTACAAAAGTCTAGATTTGTGATTTTTTTTCCTTGTAAGAGTTTCTGTTTTCTCTCACCTTAGGGATGACTGGAGAAGGTTGGAGTTCGGTTATTTCTCTTACTCTCTTAATCAGTTATCCTCCGATAATAACTCTGCAGGTTAGGCTGTGGCTAACTAGTTTTACTAGAATGTTGTGGGGGATTTCCAAATGTTTTATTTTCACTTTCCCTTGCTGGAAGCTTGAGGAGATTTACCTGATATATATTGTTGGAATCTGATTGAGCACCAGCAGTAAGTTTCATAATATTGAGGTGTCTCCCTTATGGCTGGATACCCCTGGATTTTTTAAAAAATCTCTGGTTTGTCTCTACAGAGCATCCAACAATTTGTCAATTGCAGTTAGGGCTTTCCTCCTGATACACTGATTCCTGTGCTATTTTTGCTGGTGAGTTCTGCTAATCTGTGACTCCTTGTGTTAGTCTTGCTTCTTTAGATTTTTGTTTTAATGATAAATATTTTAGTCATTTAGTCAATTCTCAGACTTGAAATGGAGTTTATTGTGTGAGATAATTCTTATATACACTAGTGTCTCTAGCATAAATTTAGTTATTTAAAAATCCTGATTATTATAATTTTGTAAAAATATTTGAAAAAGTTTTTCTTTTTTCCCTTGAATATATGTAGTAAATTTCATAAAAGGATTTTTGATTACAGTTCTCTGTGTAAAATATCTTTTCATTCATAAAAATAATTAAGATATATTTATCCTGTAGATCATATTACAGTACATACAGACTCCTCTTCCTTTAGTGTATTGCTGCTGTTCTCATTTTACTTTGACTTTGAGGCACTGTTTATTCCTAGCTGTATTTTATTCTCACTTTAACAAATTCAAAGACATTCTGATTCTATAGGAATCATGATTGATTTTCCTGTTCTTATTTTTTTTAGATACTCCCACTAATTCAAATGTGTTTACATGACTATTCTTTTACCCTTTTACCTTACATGCCTTTTTTTAGGCTGACAGTAACTACTTTATGTGATTCCAAACCTTTTATTCCTTTAGATGAATTAGGGAGCATGGGAATAATCATCTTGGAATTATTGGAATATTGACGTTAGTAGCCCAAAGTAATGTCAATCATGTGAACAGAAACATTAGAAATAAGGGTTTGTTGTACCTGTGATTTTATCTTTATGGGAAGTGAGTTGCATTTTGAGAAAAAATTAGAAAATTTATTATAATATGTAATAGTCTTAGAAAATTTTTATGAGATTCAGTCCATGGCAGAATTCAAGTCGAATAATTGTCAAAATTTTTTAATGCAAGGATGAGATTTGATAATGGTTTTATATACCTGATCTCTCATAGATCAGTTATTTTCATTATAATTTTCGTTATTTCCATGAGTGGTTAAGTTAGCTCCTAAACTTTATTTTTTATTTTATTTTATGTTATGTTATGTCATGTCATGTCATTTTATTTCTTTTTCTTATTTTTATTTTTTATTGTATTTTTTAGGTGAGGCAACCTTTGGTTGACCTCACTGATTGTAAGGACCTTGTCAGCTTACCATCCCTTATTTTTTAAATTTTTTACACCTACAGCACGTGGTCTTCCTAGGTGGTCTCCCATCCAAGTACTAACCAGGCCCAACTATGCTTAGCTTCCAAGATCAGATGGGATTGGCTTGTTCAGGGTGACGTGGCCGTAGACAAGTTAGCTCCTAAACTTTATTATTTATTTATTTATTTATTATTATTTTTAACACCTACAGCACCTGGTCTTTATAGGTGGTCTTCCATGCAAGTATTAACCAGGCCCAACCCTGCTTAGCTTCTGAGATGAAATGGGATCGGACAAGCTCCTAAACTTTAAATTGGTGTTTTTAAAGTTTTTTGGCAGGCAGGCATGATAAGCTTCTTAAATTAAAATCTTAATGTCTGTCTTGTGGGTTTTTAAATCAGACATAATTTCACTAATAATTACTTTCCTCTTTTCAGCATTATCTGCATATCAGAGGTACTACAGTTTACAGTCTGACTACTGGAAGGTTAGTACACTTGAATCCTGGTATTGTTTTTTTATTTGGGGGCAAATTATGCAAAATGTTAATTCTAAATAGGGGAACATGAAAAGGGGCTAAGGATTTTTTTTTTTTTTTATGCCCGTCATTTTGTGTGAAGTATCTTGTTGTTTATTAGTATTTTCTTGACATTTTATTTGTAAAAGAGATTCTAATTGTGATACTTTAATATCAAACAACATTAGGTTAAAAAAATGCTATTTTTTTTTTAAAGTTCATAGCTGGATGGATAATGGTGATTCTGAAGATAAAGGTTGAGAAAGGCTGAAGGCTAAGCAGCATCTCTTCTTTTTACAATTTCTCTATGATTGTAGCTAAGGGGAGAATTAAAACAATCCATTTTAGGACCTATGTCAATAAAGAATTGTATGTAAGGATGAATTATCCAGTGTGTTCTCAGTTTAAATCTGTAAACTATTGGATTAATGCTTTACAGCATGTATAATTTCAAGTGTCCTACAGATAGCTAAATAAATTATTGTTTAACATTACGTCATTATCATACACCCCAAAACAAATATATCTTGTAGTGGGATATAACCCATAATATCAGCAATTTTAGATATAATTGCATGAAGATTAGTTACAGATAGTGCTTGTGTGCATGCAGGGAAATTTTAGGTTACTCAAAGACTTTGAAAGCCCACATGTTGATCTCTGATGTAGGTAAAAGCATTACTGATTTTTGTGAATTACTTAGAGTGGAGAAAAACAATTAAAAATGAAGTCTTTACTAAATCCAAAAATGTCCTCATTAATTTATTTCAAGTTACTCTTTTTTTTGTAAGACCATAATGGAAACAATTCACATAACCATAAAACCTCCCCCATTTCAAGAGGTTTAAATATTTTCACGAAGTTTTATATTTATTACCACAGTCAGTTTTAGAATGTAAATGAAACCCCATATTCTCTCTCAGTTTGTCCATGACCTCTGCCCTGAATATTTGCCTAGTCTGGCTGGTTTTTTTCACTAAGCACGTTTTCAAGATTCCTCTTTGTTGTAGTATGTCTTTTTTATGACTATAAATTCCAGTATATAGGTATTTGTTTTATATATGTTCCATTTTTCATTGATGGACATTTCTATTCACCTTTTGGCAATAGTGAATCATGCTGCTATGAATGCTTGTGTACTGATATTTCTGTATGGAAGACATGAACAGAAAACATGTAGTGACTGACTATAACATGTTATACCTATATGAAGACTTCAGCAGATCGCCTGAAACAAATGATACCAAGCCACTTACTGCAAGAGATGATTATATAGATTCAGGAATAGGTGTAGACTGGAAAATGCAGAAATTACTGAGGAGAGAGAAAGAGACTACATTCATATAACTTTTTATTATATTGTCATAATTGTTCTTTTTTGTTATTGTTATTTAATCTCTTATTGTTCCCGACTTATAAATAAAACTTTTTTCATAAGTATGTATGTATAGGAAAAATAACAGTATATATAGAGTTTGGTTTGGTTCTATCTGAAATTTCAGGCATCCTCTGGTGGTCTTGGAACATCCATTTCCTGTTGATGTCTAGTTCTATCTTGTTGAATAAGATATTAAAGACATCAGCTATTGGTAAGTTGTGTATCTTTTGGGCCCGTTTTGTAGATTTTGCTTTATGTATTTTGGTGCTCTGTTTGGTACATATCTATCATTGCTATCTTTTTGATGACTAAGTTTTTTAATTTTAATTTTGTACCAACTTTATGAAACCATAATCGACATGACAGTATAAGTTTAATGTGTACATATAACATTGTGTATTTTTAAGATATATATAGTGTTTTGATATGATAACATATATGTTGCTAAATGTTTGACACAAGTGTTAGCTAACACATATATCGTGTCACATAATTACCATTTCTAGGTTGTCTTGAGAACATTTAAGATTTACTATATTCGTTTCCAGTTATATAATAGAGATATAGTTCCTTTATTGTCTTTATTTCTAGTAACTTCATTAATTTTGAAGTATTTTGTTTGATATTACTTTAGCTATTCTAGAATTTTTATAATTACTGTGCTAATGATTCTGTATTATTTATCTGAGGGGGATGCGATTCAAGACCGCCACTGGAAGCCTGAAACCATAGGTGGTACTAAACCCTTATATGTTTTTTTTCTATAAATACATACCTGTGATTAAAATTTAATTTAAAAATTAGACACAATAATTAACAATAATAAAAAAAACAATTATAACAATATGGTGTAATAAAAGTTATGTGAATATGGTCTCTCGGAATCTCTTACTATACTTTACCCTTCTTTTTCTTGTGATGATATGAGATATGATTCCTACATGTAATGAAGTGAGGTGAATGAGGGGCATTGTATTACGCTACTATAGTATTACGCTACTACAAAGATTGCTTGAACACAAATTCTACGATACTATCACAGTGGATCTGATAACCAGGATGGCGACTTAAGCGATTAATGGGCAGGGTGGGTCCATAGCTTGGAGACACTAGACAAAGGGATTTAGGTCTCTGCCATGGGGGAGCAGGACAGAGTGAAATTTCATCACACTACTCAGAAACAGCTCAATTTAAATTTATAACTTAAGACTTCTTAATTTCTGGAATTTTCCATTTAATATTTTTGGATTGTGGTTGATCAGAAGTAAATGAAACCAATGAAAGCGAAACCATAGATAAGGGAGACTATTGTATATTTATCGCCTTCCATCTTCTTTGCATTTACAGTATGTTTCCTGAGGGCAATATATAATTGGCTCAGTTTTATCCAGACTTTAATTTATGCATTCTGAATGTTTAATCTCATTTAATGTTATTCATATATTGGATTTCTGTCTACCAGTTTACTTTTTATTTTTAACATGTTTGTTTTTTATCTATTCCTATTTTACTGCTTTGTTTTGCATGTAGTATATTTAAAAAATTTAATTCCTCAAGCTTTTTATTATATCTTTTTGAAGTAATTCCTTAGGTTGCCTTAGTACTTACCAAATACATACTAAGTTAAATGAGTTTTCTTGTATTTACTGTAATTCCTATGAGATCTTGTATAGGTCTGTGTATTTGTGTCCTTTTATTATAGACATATGTCTAAATGTTCTAACTCCCAACATTTACATTGTAATAACACATGCTACATATATTAATATTAATTTATATAATTTGTTGACTTTTTAAAGAGGAAAGATTATATGTATGGCTTTTGTTTTCTGTTTTAGTTTCTATTTCTGAATCTCTCAATTTGTTCCTGTGTCTTATATCATCTGGAGACATTTTTTGATCCCAGTATAGCTTTGCTCTCTATTACGTCATTTCTCCTGTCAGTAATAAAATACATTGCTATATATTAAAGGCCCAACAATACACCTATGTAGAGATTGCTTAAACAGTTTGCTTTTCAATCAATTTGGTGAAGGAAGAAAAAGAAATACAAAGCATGCTGTGTTCCATTAATTCAGTTATGTTTAACTACCGTGTGTGTATGTGTGCCTTTGAATGATTTGAGCCCTTGCTTTAAGCTTGAAACATTTCATTAGAAATTGTGAGGTGGTTGTGTTTGCAGTTAATTCTCTTAATTTTTTTTTTGTGTGTTTATCAGCAAATGTGTATTTAACCTTAATTTTTAAAAGATAGTTTTGCTCTCTTTGTATTTTTTGAGCACTTTGGTTATGTTAGCCCTCTGCCATTTAGCTGTCACAGTATCTGAGGAGCTGTTAACCTAATTAGAGTTTTTTGTGATAATTTTTATCTGCTTTTAAGATTTTATTCTTGTCATTGGCTTTCATTATTATGATTTTTTACTATAATGTGCCTGTGAATCTTTTTTTGTTTATCCCATTTGGAAATGGTTTACCTTATTGATATACAAAGTAAAGTTTCCCCTGATTTTTGGTGCATTTTTTATTCATTTGTTTTTGAAAATTTTTTTCTTTTCTTTCCTGTCTTTCATAGTTATCATATGCACTTGTTGGCTCACTTGTTGTCATACCACATATATGTGAATCTCTTTTTGTTTTTCTTTGTTGATTTTTCTCTCTTGAGTTTTAGAATGTTTAATCTGTCATTTAAGTTTACGTGTTCATTGTTCTCACTTCAAATATACTTTCATGACTCTCTAATTTTTGTTTTGAGTTATCATATTTTTAGCTTCAGAATGTGCATTGATCCTTCTTTATAATTTTAACTTTTGTATCGAAATTTTTATTTGAGAGACAACACAATTTATTTCTGTGAAATACTTTAGTTATTGAATATATATATAATGGCTACCTTAAGTTTTTAAACAGTGATTTGGTTTTTCTCGCAAGCAATTTCTGTTGACTTTTCCCTTCTATATGAATCTAAATATACTTTATTTCTCTATATCTTCTAACATTTATTAGAAAATGCCATTTACTTAACATAATGTTGCCACTCTGGGTTATGGTAATTGTAGTTTCTCCAGAAGGGCTTATATTTTTTTTTCCTTTTCTTTGATTAATGTATGAATGGATTATTTTTGTGAGGTGTATTTCCTCCCTGCAGTATGAAGCTTCTGATATTTTTGTTTGGAAAGTTCAGGCTCAAGGTTGTTTGCAATTCTGGAATGACAATGATTTTTAACAGGGCCATCTTTATCTTTTTTTTCTTACTGTACATAACTGTGACACTGTACTAATTGCAGTCTCTAGTGTTTAGTTTTCCGTAGCCCTTCAGGACATACAATTCCTACAGATTATTCTAATTAAATTTTGCTTCCTTTGCAGGAAGAGTTTTAGAAGTCATTATTTGAGAATTGTACTGATTTAGGGATTGCTTTTGTAACTTCTCTTTCCATTGTCCTGTGTGGTAACCTCTCAGGCCTGTTGCTTACTTTGTTACAACTGTGGGTCCCCCACTCTCACACACACTGGAAAGCAATTCTCAGACATGAGTTGAGTGTGCTATGAGTTGGGCGTGCTACAATTCAACTTAGTGGTACTATATCTACTTG